ATGAAATTAATATATATATATACCCAAAACTTCCCCTCACTTAAATTCTCATAACACTCACTCCCTCGTTCATTCACGTTCAAACTCACGCACGCACGCCCCCTTCTCCTTCACTCGGCTCTCCCTCCGTGCATGCCCGACCCGCCGTCGGCCTCCTGCAATCATCGCCGCCGCTGCCCTAAGTTAAAAACCTTCCTCCTCCTGCTCTTCTTCTTCTTCTTCTTTCCTTATCCTTCTTCCTTCTTCTTTCTTCTTCTTCTTCCTTCCTCCATTTCCTTTTCCTCCTCATTTCTTCTCATCCTATTCCTCTTCGTCTTCTTCTTCTTCATCATCATCTTCTTCCCTAAACTTAACCCTAAACCTAAAAAATTATTTCTCTCTCCACATCCCTCAAACCACCACATCCCCTTCACAAAAAATCTTCCCTAGAACCTCCTTCACCTCTGCCAAAAAGTCCCATCCCATTTCACTTTCTAAAAAAAGAGAAAATCCATCATTTCTACCTCTAAACACTTCTATATCCATGTCAAACACCCCCTCTCATTCACATTCTCTCTTTTTCTAGAGACAGAAAATAATTGACCCTTCTCTTTCTCTCTTTATAATTGGAGAGAATGAGCATTTTTTCTCTAGGTGCACCCTCCTCACAACCACCACCTCCCTACCTCATTCCCTCTCTTTCTCTCTCTAGCTATCGTGCGCGCACACACACATATGAATAAAGTAAATGATAATGATATAAAAAATTTTCATGCATCGCAGGTATCTTCTCCATTGTCTTGCCATCGCCGCCTCTGTCATTGTGCATTTGAGGTAGAACCTTAACCTAACACTTGTTATTTTATGAATTGCTACATGTGTGAAACTAAGTGCATGTAACCATCTTTCTTGGCAAATTGGGAAATATTACTATGTATGTGAAATTAAGTACCCACGATCACCTTTCTTGGCAGTTGAGAAAAATTTTTATGCATGAAAATAAATAACCGTAACTGTCTTTCTTGTCAGGAAATAAAATTTGTTATGCATGAAAATAAATACCTGTGACTGCCTTTCTTGGCAGACGGTAAAATTTGTTATGCATGAAAATAAATACTCTTAACTTCCTTTCTTGGCAGGTGGGAAAATCTGATATGCATGAAAATCCTAAGTACTTGTGACTGCCTTTTTTGGTAGGCGAGGAAGCTACTTTAAAACATGTATATAAAGACTTGCATGTGATTGCCTTTCTTGGCAGGCGGGGAATAGAGATTTCAATCTCAATGTCACCCTATACCGATTGTGACTGCCTTTTTTGGTAGGTGAGAAGGCTTAGCACACCCTGATGCAACCTCCTATGTAGGGATGCCATCGGAGTACCGCCAAAATTTACACAGCAATTTAGGTAAACTAAAACCTAATCTAGCTCCTACATCAACAAAACAAAAAATGCACGAAATCTTAAGTTGTGAATACTGAAAAGAAAAAATGAATGAAAATCAAAATGTAACAAAATATGACTTATAATGCACTTGTTGAAATATTGGCTATTCGCCAGCAAACATGAGCATGAACTTAAACTTCCCCTTTGGCTCCTTCGTGCACACTCAAATCCTCTATCAACACTCTCCTTGCAAAAAATGAAATGTGTGGAATGAATTAAGGTGGAGTTCCATATTTATAACCCAAAAAGTAGCTATGTATGAGGGCCCATCTAAAAAAGACTCCATCTACAAAGGAAAAATGAAGCTTCATATTAAAATAATGTCAAAGTGCAATGTAGGAAGCTTTATATTGAAATAATGTCAAGATACCATTTCAAGGTTATGATTAAAACTTGTAAAGATGTTATTTTGAGACTCTTGCTTTGGATTTCTTAAGTATTCCAAGCAAGTAAAATTCGAGCATAAATACACCTAAATGAGGGTATTAATTACCCCCTTAAAATGTAAAAAGTTACTTATGCCCCTACGACGGTACATTTATATTAATGGCCACCAGATAAGATCCCTCCCACATTTCCCCGATATTATCTTGGGTCATTTCGAGGTTATAATTAAAACATGTAAACATATTATTTCAAGAATCTTGCTTTGGATTCTTTAAGTATTCGCAAGAGAGTAAAATTTGAGCATAAATGCAGGTAATAATTACCATAGAAATGTAAAGAATTATTTATGCTCCTATGACGGTGCATTAATATTAATGGCGGTCACATAAGATCCCTCTCGCATATCCACGATATTATCATGAGTAAATATTCCTTAGTGAAATAAGATCAGCAATCATATTGCAAGTCATAGGTGTATGAGTGTCCTAAGTGATGTAAACATCAGCCGCTAAAAATAAAGTGATTTGTATACCTCGTGAATGTGTTGTACACCCTGTGAACACTTGCTTTTGAAAAGAAATAAAAGCAAGTAAAAGTTCTTAGGGAAAATTTAGGTAAGAGTTATATATATTAACGAAGAATTAATTTAAAGTTAATTAAAGTATAATTTTAAAATAGCTGTGCAGATTTATGTAATTAGGTGTTGCATTAAATAAGGCCACTTATGAACTCAAAAAATTTAAAAGGATTTCAAAGCATGAAAATAAGTGAAATGGGTGACTATTTATTTTATATCAATTTTATTTTTTTTATTATAGTTTCAATACAATTATCTGCTATTGTATCATGCATGTATACTTGTTAAATTTTAAAGTATGTGTCATTGTTTTGAAAACTGGTCTGGACCGGCCAGCTCAACTGGTTCAATCGGGCATTGGTCAACTAGCCGGTTCAAATTTTTTCTAAATCTTGTTTCGCATTGAACCAGAGCAAACCAATTCGAAACCGGTTCAAATACCAAACCGTTAAACCAGTCTTGGTTTTTAAGAACCGACAGATCAATTATTATTTCGCTTATATAATCAAATAAATAAATTTAAAAATTTTAATATAAAATGATAAATTTAAGAAATTTATTTATATTAATATATTTTAATTTTAAAATTACTTCTAAATTTTTACAATAATCATTTGTAAAACAAGCTCCAACTAAGTATATTCACATGGCCTCACCATCCATGTGACTTGTTTAATTCATTTAAACTAAAAGCAGACATACAAAACGTACTAAGGCAAATTCCAATTGATACTGGGATTAAAAAACCCTAAAGTGAAAGTCTCAGTTTTCAACACTAAAACTAATAATTTTTCAATATAATTTTTTTATGTAATAAGTATTTGATTTTTTGAGTTATAAAATTTTTAATCTTTATATTATTTGTTCTGATTAGTATATAAAGAAAAACTAATGTTTATTAACATACATTTTAAATTAATAAAGGTTATAATATGAATCTATATAATGTATATGTAATAATGTGACTATGATATAATTTATAAATATGACTAAATATTTTAACATAATTAAGATTTTTATATGAAATTTTATAATGTCATATTAAATATGAATTAACATTAGATGATTGAGGGGATATGTAAATTGAAATTATAGAATTCTTTTTTGTTTTAACATTTTTATCTATTTATTAATAAAAATTTATATTATTTCGAATAATTAATCATTATCTGATATTTATATCATTTAAAATAATTTAAATATTTATTACATATCCAGTTCAAACCCTGGTCGAGATCATCTGACATTGAACATCTCTTTTTCCATTATAAGTCGATCTAGATTTGATTTTCGCAACCTGTCTAGGAATCCTAATTATTGGTTAAATAAGATAAATTAAACAATCACTAGTTATAATATGGTAATATATAATGTGAAACTGCTTATGTAAATGGTAAGTTAAGGGAAAGAAGAAGATAAATAAGATGAATTATAAAATATAAGTAAAAGTATTATAATTCACAAATTTAATGAATGACAATATAGGGTTCACCCCTTATGATATTGACTAGAGGACGCAACAGTACTCGTAATATAATAAATAGAAATGGAAGTGAAAAATGATCATAATTCATTGATTAAATTGGCTGATCAAAAGATTTATATGTGCAAAGAAGAGAGTCAACACTAAAATTTGTGAGAACTATTTTTTTTTGTATGTTTAAGAACTGAATGGGTAGTGAACTATTTATTGATGTTTAGACTGACAATAATTTGTGGATTTGCAGTTAAATTCAATGTTTCCGTATGATATCACAGACACGAACAATCGGAAATAGCAAATGACACGAAATGGGCATAGTAGTTTAATTATTGAAAATATAGGACTGGAAACGAGTTACACTCATAGTGTAACTATCAATTTAAGTAATCTTGATTCTTTTCATGTTGGATTATCGTAGTTAAATTATTAAACAGCGTTTTACGATTTACATCAATTGAAAACACTATAATTAACACATGCTGCAGGTCTTAAATGTCTTAATTAAAGTTGTACTCAAATATCACTTAGACATAAACACAATTAAGTTTTAAAATTAGGATTCTACTATGTCTTTCATGTTGAATCATTAAATAATCAAATCAAACCCTATACCGAATATCAATATTAGCTAATACCATATTTTAATTGCTAAATATCATGATGTTAGATAATCTTTTTGTTATAAATCAATAATTAATTCTCTATTAAATCCAACTTTTCTTACTATGTTTTCAATCGGCAGAAAATTATATTTCATAATTAATTATTGCTCATGTCTAAATATTAATTACTACTAAGATCTCGGGCTTTGTTATACAAACTAAATAATTTTAATACACAAAACTACTGTCATTGAACAATAATAAAACTTCATGAATCTTTGATTGAATCTCTAGATAACCATATAGTTATAGTAAATAGGTAATATATATATATATAATATACATACTATTAATATTAACTCATACCTATCGAATAACTATATATATTAGATAAAAATATATATTATATATATTATATATATATAATAGTATATATCATTATACATAACTTTAATTAACTTCTCATACCTGATTGCCTGAATTAAACACTAATAATTCCTTAGTGATTATAATATTAATAATTTCCGATTAGGTGATTATAAATAAAGAAGTTCAAAATGATTTATGATAAATGGGTTTAACATTTCAAATTATACTCACTTGTAACGAATGAAAAATGAGAATTCATAAAGCTTAATTCATAATCCCTTGTTAATTTCTAATTATCATCAATAATCTCTAGTTATCCCAATTTATCTAATTAATCAAAACAATCCTGTTCTTTTTTCAATCGTGTGAAACTGCCCTGTAGGAAACAACCCATTTTTTTCCTAGATGAATTAAAATATGCTTTTCAACATGAACTTTTATCAAACGTATGAAATAACCTATACGGTTTCCAAATTTCAATAGTAGAGTGCCCACGGTGACTTCCTGCTGCTATAAATGTTGTTCCTGAGTTTTATCATTTGCATTAATGATGTCACTGTTGGCCAATCTTGATACGTGTCCTTGGCATCATTTTTAATTATGCCAACCTTGTTATGCAGGGGCTACCAGAAACCTGAAAGACCTTTGCCCGGAGATTGTGGTTATTACTTGCATGCTCGTCGGCTTGTTCTCTGCCACCCCTCAATGGAGAAGGTTTGTAATTTTATCAAGTTTTTTTTTTTTCTCATGCGCTAGTTATGAAACCAATGGTATAAGAAGCGCTGATTACATGTTCGTAAAACAACTTCTCTTGGTTGGGGATTTCTAAAATACTACATTTTTCATTCATTGCACCAAGCATTAGCAATATTATAGTTAAAATCTGCCGCTTCTTATAGCGTAGTTGTTATGAAAATTTTCGAAAATAATTGCTATAGGATGAAAAATGGCACGTCGCTCCTTTTTTTATTTCCTTCAATAATTTTTGTTCGCTTGATTTCCACTTTATCCTGTCTTTATTGAACAGAAACCACACACGAACCTCTGTCTTCTACTCCACTGAATAGAACTAAAGAGGTTGCACGACTAGCCGCTTCCTCTCCTCTTCTTTGTCTATCAATAGCCAGCCCTACAAAAACCTCTTTCTTTTTTATCTCTGAACGGCTCACATGAACTTTGCCTTCACCTCCGTCCTCGACTGCTTGCAACGACCCCTCCTCTTCCTCCTTCGTCCTAGTCAAAGTTGCAGACTCCTGAAATGCATGATTTCCTCTCTGTTTTCTCCAATCAAAGCCACACACAACCTCTCTTTTTCTTCCTTGTCTCTGTTGAGTAGGCTAAGGAATTGTACACATTTCTTCTTCCTATGGTTTCACACGCCTCCAATTTCGTACGAGTATTTCTTCCAACTTGCACACTATTTTCTTCAATCAAAGTCATGAAAACCGCACACACCCTTTATGCATGCGAGAAGATGGTTTTTACCCATTTGATTTTGATTCTGTCTGCTTGTGCCTGCTCAATCCACTTGCATCTACTCCTAGGATTCAAGTAAACCAATTTGGATGAATCAGTTGAGCTAGATGTTACAAAGGCAATCACTATCTCAAATAAAAAAATTAATATATATTGAGTTTGACAAAAAATGGCTAATGATACAACAAAAAGTACAACACTATAAGCTAATACATTGAGAGAAGTATGTTACTTTAAAATTGATGTTAAAGGATTGAAAGGTATACATTTTTTAGTTTTTGAAATCATTGATCTATTAAAGTAAAAATATATTAGCATTTATAGAGTTCTTTAAGACTTACCAAACGGCTAAAACATCAATTCTTGAGTTGCCAAATTGGACTAGAATCTATACTTTAATGATTGTAATCAACTAGCCATTTCAACAACATATAAATAGGAAACGACTAATGCAACAACATCTAAACAATTATCCTGCTTCATGGGTAACTAAATGAATCCTTCTTTTTCTATTCTATCCTATTAAGGGTCAAGTTCTCATTTAAATTTAATAAAAAAATGTCATTTATAATTTTTATAAGCAAGTTATTTTTTAGGTCTACCTCTAACTTTCTTAACATAGGTCACTAATAGATCTACTATCCTAATCGGGTCATCGAAAAGCCTACATTTTTTATGTGACCAAACTCATTTGAGGTGTGAAACCCCTTAAGTAAAATAAGCTAAACTGTTAAACACTTAGGCGCGTTTTAGTATAATGGTTGGAATTTCATTAAGAAGCTCCGCAACCAACGTGCTCATCCTAAAGAAATTCTGGGATGGGTGACCTCCTTGGAAATTACATCAATTGGATAAAACTATGAAACCTTAGGCCAAAGCATACAATATGTCGATAGTTAAGAGTTCAGGCTATTACAAATGATATCAGAGCAATATACCAGCTAGAAGATGGGAACTAATTGTCATACTAGACAGTGCTACACCACGGGAGCCACCTCTTGAATCTTATATGGGATAAAGTGCTACGTAGCGGGAATCATCACTTGAACATGTAGGGGTCACCTCTAGAATATTATATGTCTGGTATAAAGATGCTGACAAGGACATCAATTACTTAAGTGGGGGAGATTGTGAAACACCTCAGGTAAAAGAAGCTAAACCATGAGGCCGTTAGGTCAAAGAGGACAAAATCGAGAGGCCAAAGTGGACAATATAATTAAGAATTTAGGTTTTTACAACATCAGGGTTTTCTTGCTCAGATAAAATATATAATTAAAGAAGTTAAGGAGTTGAAATACATACTTATATTGAAAGAATATCCTAAAGTGTTTTTAGATGACCTATCGAGTCTACCACTAGAAAGAGAAATATATTTCTCTTTTGAACTATTATTAGGTTCAAAACTAATAGCAAAACATCTTACAGTTCAAGAATTGCAAGAGTTTAAATGTCAGTTGCAGGAATCATGGTTTAAAATTGCGCAATAAAAGGCGCGCCTTACCATAATGTGGTCCCTTTAAGCCTCAAAGCCTACGCAATAAGTTAAGGTTTTGAGGCTTACGCCTCAAGTTTAATGAGGCGCGCCTCGCCTCACATTTTTGAGGCAACGCCTCTAATAAAATTAACCTAAATTTTTTTTTCAGTTCCGACCTCTAATTGCGCTTAGTGAGATGTCGACGTGGCATCAACATTTAAACATTGGTAAAGGTCAAATGTCAGACGCTGCGTTACGGTTTTCAAATTCCAGCAAACGTTCCAACTTCCAATCATTCAATTCGGAGCAATTCCAAGCATTCCCTCAATTCCTTCTCAGATGTCGTCACCCATGAAGAAAAAGGAAATTTGCTGTCATGATGTCTGTTCAGTTCTGCGTATTTTATGGTTATGCTATGCGCAGGTGTTCAAGGTTTTGAAGTTCTTCGTTTTCTTATGCTTACGCTATGCGTATGCGGTGCTTCTCGAAACTTTTTAAATGTTTGTTTGATACTTTGATTTCATCGGGTTTTCTCTGTATTTAGAGTTTATGAATTTATGTTGAAATTTGAAACATAAACTCTAACTAAATTTTAAGCACCGAGTACTCTATGCGTATGTTGTGCATATTATATGAGTCTGTTATGCGTATACTGTACGTGATAATTGCTTATGTTGTGCGTACATACTGCGTCCGTACTTTATGCGTGAGTATTTTATGCATGCGTATAATTTAAAAAGTCCCTCTTTTGTGCGTATCTTATTTACTTATTATATATGTTTTTATTTTTTAAAATTTTCAGATATATGTTCGTCCAATTACCTATCGATGCTATGTTTCTACTTTTCGATCAATCTGTGATAACTTTGCTCAACAAATTTCTCTTGAAGTCATGGACACATTAAAACGGTTGAAGATCATACAATTTTTGCAATTTCTTGGATTTGAGCAAAATGTCCCTCTTATTTATGAGCTGATATCAAGGTGGAACATTTCAAAACAATACTTTATTCTAAAAGGTGACTCAATTCCTTTCACTGTTGATGAAGTGACCCTACTTACTGGTCTCCAAATAAATGAGAAGAAATATCCTAGCTTTCCTTAGCACATAATTCAGTTACATCATCGGAAATTAAGACAAACATGCTGGAGTTGAACAAGCAAACCCCCCCTAAAAAAAAATAATGTTAAGAATGTTTTTCATGTATTTATGTTCAAATTTACTTTTCCAACTTAATAACTTCAAAACCCCTCGGTTGCTTCAAAGAATAGCAAATAATCCAGATGATTTTTTGTCAATAAACTGGGCTAGTTCAATTAGGAAATTTTTAGTTGGAGTTTAATAAAGCCTCCTTTAAGATTTCAAATAAGAAGCCACCAGGTTACATCAATGATTTTGTACCTCTACTAATTGTGAGTGCTAAGTGCTAACTGTTAAATTCATTCAAAATTTTATTGGCTCAATGTGAGTGCTAAAATTTTCTTTCATCTTATGCAGATTTGGTTCCTAGAGCATACTTCTTATATACGCGTATTTATGATACGCGTATTGTATGCGTATGGTATGTTTATTTTATGCGTATTATATGTATATTATATGCGTATAGTATGCTAATGATACGCATATTATATGCTTATGAAATGCGTATTAATGTTTTTTTTTTTGTAGGGACGATAGTATCTTGTTTGTTAGTAACTTTCTTATTTCCAGAGCTGAAATTGATGAGTTATTAAGCAACAATTATTTAGGCAATGAACATGTAGATCTTTTTGCCCTTTTGTTAGATGAGAGGTGTAACCTTAAGCCTGACACGTACCATAAATTTCTATACATCTCTCCAGTCTAATGGGTTAATAACTTAGTATTCAATTAATCAGTTTAACTATTGGATTAGTAACTTAGTATCAATTTCTTAGTTCTTACATAGTTACATACTTACATTTACTACTTGCACTTGCAGAATAACAAAGGAAGAGATAAATTGTCCAAATTGCAAATCGACCATATAACCGAGCTTTTTATTTCTTCAAACAACATTTTATTACAGCCAATCATTGAATCCTCACACATTATCCTGCTGGTTGGTTTGCTGAAAGAACAAAAGTGAAAATTTTATGACTTGTTGCCCCACCGCGTCAAAGAGCATAGGCTTGTTTTTCCAAAAATCGTAAGTGTTAGATGAATATGAACTCTTCAATTTTTAAAAAAATTACAGAACTAATCCTTGCTTTACGTATTTTTCAGCTTAAAGCCCTATACTCAGACATGAAAGGAGCTTTTAATAGTGATATCAGAAAATGGAAGCTTTCTACCATTAAAGGTGCACCAAAACAGGAGAACTCTGTAGATTGTGGAATGTATGTCTGTAAATATATGGAAAGAATAAATCTTGAAGGCAACACTGATTGGACTGATAGTATAAATTTGCAAGAAGACATGCCAAAATATAGGGCAGAATTTGCATATGAAATATTTTATAAAATATTGAAAAATGGCAGTTTTTCATTCTGTATAAATATTTATCATTCTGTGTATAATATTTTTATGTATAAATGTTTAAACAGTTTCTGTGTATAAATGTTTATTATCATTCAGTGTATAAATGTTTATTTCTGAAGAATATATTTTTCAATTATGTGTATAAATGTTATTTACTTTGATTTGATTAAAAATAACTTATTAAATGATAATACGTATAAATTACGCATATCGTATGTATTGTGTAGGCATACTGTATGCATATAATACGCATAACGCACGCAC